TTTATGAATTCAGGCTGTGTTGAACCCGCCTTCATATTAATTCAGCATGATCTCATTCAGACTACTGCGATTCAGCCTGTTTCGTTTGAACGTGTATTTATTCAGAATGCATCATTTCAGCTTGCATTTCATGAGCCTTAATAAATTCAGCCTAAACTAGTTATAGCTTAATATTGATTAATAAACTTAATTAATTCAGGCTATAGTATTACAGCTTGCCGCAATACAGCTTGTATATGCATGTATTTATTCAGCTTGTAACTCAGCCCTCACTCTAATGCTGGCTTACTCAGCACTCACTCTAATGCTGGCTTACTCAGCCCTCACTCTAATGCTGGCTTACTCAGCCCTCACTCTAATGCTTGTCTCTTATACACATCTAGATGTGTATAAGAGACAGGATATGACAAGATATGATAAGATATGATGAGATATTATAAGATATGATAAGTTATGATAAGATATGATGAGATATGATAAGATTTGATAAGATATGCTAAGTTATGATAGGATATGATGAGATATGATAAGAATTGATAAGATATGATAAGATATGATAAGATATAATAAGATATGATAAGTTATGATAAGATATGCTGAGATATGATAAGATTTGATAAGATATGATAAGATATGGTGAGATATGATGAGATATGATAAGTTATGATCAGATATGATAAGATATAATAAGATATGATATGATAAGATTTTATAAGATATGATAAGATATAATAAGATATGATATGATAAGATTTTATAAGATATGATAAGATAAGATATCATTATAAGGTGAAGAATTTGCTCATAATGAATGTATGATTCACAAAGACATTCTGAATTTATTAAAACATTTTATATTGCGAGAAGTTTACTAATTTGAAGAGTAAGATGAACATATATCCGAATTTCTTTATTTTTCTTGTATATAAACACTCTTCCTTGAAGTTTGTTTTTTGAAAAGGATGAATAGAATCATCAGTTAAAAGATAAGATAAGGAAGCATCCTGGAGATAAGAAGCCGGCCCATGTACATATATTCCCTATAAGTCTAGGGAAATTGGTCATTATATTTAAGTAAGTGAAACATATAACAAATTATTGTTTACGGCCACTTCCGAGCTACGAACTGCACTGCTCCACACGCACACCATCACAACACCACAATAAAGTAAGCATCACCACCGCCACCCCCCTGTCTCTTATACACATCTNAAGATATTTCGAATTTATAGAAGAAATTTCGAATTTTAGAAGAAATTTCGAATTTTAGAAGAAATTTCGAATTATAGAAGAAATTTTGAATTTAGAAGTAATTTCGAATTTAGAAGAAATTTTGAATTTTGGAAGATATTTCGAATTTATAGAAGAAATTTCGAATTTTAGAAGAAATTTCGAATTTTAGAAGAAATTTCGAATTATAGAAGAAATTTTGAATTTAGAAGTAATTTCGAATTTAGAAGAAATTTCGAATTTTGGAAGATATTTCGAATTTATAGAAGAAATTTCGAATTTTAGAAGAAATTTCGAATTATAGAAGAAATTTCGAATTTTATAAAAGTTTAGAGGAAGTTTTATTATCGTACATATCTTAACTATAGGAGCGCAGGTGAAAGTGTCATGAGTGCCGTGTTATTAGTGAAGGCTGTTTAGTATTGACCGTCGTGTGTAAAGTATTGCTGAAAATAGATGTAATGTAATATGTATTACGTTGTAATATGAATAGTTTGTGCGATGCATCTACCTTATGGCTGTGAGTAATTCAGCGCATATTGTTAAAATATTTTGAATATTTTATGTTTAAGCGCCAGGAAAATTCAGAGCTTGCATTAGAAACGTTGAGTCCTAACCCTGGAGCTTGGAGCACTAAATATAATATCTATATATATATATATAAATATAGTATCTATAATAAATGAATATATATAAAATTAAAATATATAATAGAAAACACACTGCAAAATAAGATTTCCTCTCAAAAACAAAATAATTATTGAGTTGAAGAACAATCACGGACCGTTATACTATCATGATTAGGATGATGCTTAGACCAATAGTTGATTGTGGTGTGAGCCCACAGCAATGTTACGTACACGCTGGAAACTTATTTATTATAAATATAGTACATATGTCATCCGTATTATCGTAATATATGTGTTACCTACTCATATCCCAAAAAAAGCAGATTTTTCATTTTTTTATCACACGGGGATAAAAAATCAACAAAACAAACCAAAATCAAAAAATCAAAATCAAAATGAAAATCAACAAAAGCCCAAGAAGCCGATTTTTTTAAAGCGCATCGTATTATCGAAGTATGTGTTACACACTCTTCTCCCAAAACAATCATGCAATCATGCTAGATAGCGCAAATCGCAGGCTCGGGACGCCAGCATGCAAAAAGCGCAGCAAGCTTTTCATAATAACAATTATTTGAAAATTTAAACTAAAATTTGGAACAGTTTACTGCCCATATAGAAAATTAAAAGGTAGTTCATGGTATGAATAATCTGACATTCACGGCGCCAATATTCAACACGTTTGATATTCAACGTTTGATATTTACCACGCTTGGATTCACCACACAATTCATGTGCTATTCACCACACTTATATTCACTACACAATTCATGTGATATTCACCACGCAATATTGAGCTGCGTACGCAATGCGTAGTTACGAGGATGTGCGCTCACGCAGACGAGCGCTGACGCACGCTTACGTGCTGCGTAATGCGCCGTAATGCAACGTAATGCGTAATGCGGCGTAATGCGCCGTAATGCGTAATGCGGCGTAATGTGTAATGCGCCGTAATGTGTATTAATGCGACGTAATTTGTATTGCGACGTAAGCCGTCCAGCGTCAAGATTAGGCGCACGAATTAAATAATTTACCTGGTGCCAAGTTGTGAGGAACAGCGGGGGTAATGGGGAGGTAATGGGGAGGTAATGGGGGAGGTAATGGGGGTCGTCCACTCGTCCACCATGGAGGTTATTATAGAGGTTTCCATGGAGGGTAGTCAAAGTTACTGTAAAGATTAGGCGCACGAATTAAATAATTTACCTGGTGCCAAGTTGTGAGGAACAGCGGGGGTAATGGGGAGGAAGGGGGGAGGTAATGGGGGAGGTAATGGGGGAGGTAATGGCCCTCGTCCACTCGTCCACCATGGAGGTTATTATAGAGGTTTCCATGGAGGGTAGTCAAAGTTACTGTAAAGAGTAGTTATGAGAGTACCTACAATAGTTATGAGGGTACCTACAATAGTTATGAGGGTACCTACAATAGTTATGAGGGTACCTACAATAGTTATGAGGGTACCTACAATAGTTATGAGGGTAACTACAATAGTCTGGTCACTCGCTGTCATCATTGCTGCTAATTGTTTACTACATGAGGGGAAGCCGTGCGAGGTCTCGCTTCTCACGAGGGAACGCATGCGAGTGAATAAATAATTTGTGAAAGTCATTAGTGACTTCAGGAGATGGTGACTAGTGATCGATTCGAGGAAACGGTGACTAGTTAAGCTCTACAAGAAAGCCTAAAGCAGATTGTGGGACTCTCACAAGACTGAGGAACAAGCTATCGAGTAGTGAGCCAGCCACCCTGCCTGTACATAGACTGTAACCACTGTATAACCACATAGACTGTATCCACTGTATAACCACATAGACTGTAACCACTGTATAACCACATAGACTGTAACCACTGTAACCACAACTGTAACCACCGGGCCACCCTGCCAAACATAGAATTTAAACCAGAACACATAAATGGATGAACGGCGACGTCTTGAACTTAACATAAAGACACAAGTAGAGGCATTGCACGAATACTTTCAATACTCCAATAAAAAATAATAGTCATGCTGAGAATATAATGACACTCATGTAAAGGCAAGAAAAAATCAACGAAAAATGAGTAATTCAAAATTTACTTAGTGGCGCGAAGTTTAACTTCGCACTAAAACATCTGTACTGGAGGTCGAGCGATGGCCCTATATACTGGTGCTGCTTTACTGTTATCTTTACTTTGCTATTACTATTGCCTGTATCATTGCTTTTGTATTGCTTTCTTATAGTCTATATAGGATATATTGCCTCCCTATAGCCTATATAGGATATATTGCCTTCCTATAGCCTATATAGGGTATATTGCCTTCCTATAGCCTAAATAGGATATATTGCCTTCTTATAGCCTATATGGATATATTGCCTTCCTATAGCCTATATAAGATATATTGCCTTCCTCTAGCCTATAGCCTTCTAGTCTCTCCTATAGCCTATATTTCTAGATTTCTATAATAAAGAAATGGAACAACAGATACATGCCACAGAGCCGAAATCATTTTTTTTTGTTAATGCCTCTCGTTTATTGACAAATTCTGAGATGAATTTGTTAAAATGAATAGATATTCTTATTTGGTTATAGCCTAGGCTATAGAGAAACACTCCATATATTTATCTATATCAATTGTCAATAGAAATGAGCGATCGAAGTGACATCGCAGGATGTGGCGGGATGGCGGCAGCTCTCGCCATCTTGTGGCGGCTGCTCGAGTTTGTTCATATTTTATTCAGACGATGGGAGGCTCCTCTACCCTCTATACCTCCCTCATATTACCCTCATATACTCCCTCATATACTCCCTCATATACTCCCTCATATACTCCCTCATATGCTCCCTCATATACTCCCTCTTATATTCCCTCATATTACCCCTCATATGCTCCCNTATCGCAGAACATTCACAGCTTTTTGCGGTCTCGAACTCGCAACTCACTGCTACAATTCTGCTTTGCTTAACCGCCCGGCCTCCTCGCCGATTCTGACCAGAAACTGGCGCACAGAGCTGGGATCGAACCCGCGCCTCTCTGCGCCAATCTTGGTACTCTGAACTGTAACAACTGGGCCACCCTGTTAAAACACATATAATTGTTTATGGCTAATTATATAATTGAAATAAATTCAACTTAATTTCCCTCGCTAGATTTAAAGTATAACCCACCTTCTTAGGAGGCATGGTTGGATGTCGCAGGCTCATTGGTGGCTGCGTGCGGTGGATGAGGTGACGTTGACTCGGCTGGTGTTACTCTTTTTGATATTATCTTCAAAATTTTAACAGTGTAGGTTGTTATATAATTCTGAATTGAAATTCGTTTAGAAACTATTTATGGCTTTTTGTAATGTAATAAATGAACAGAGTAAAATAACAGCAACGTGAAATAAACAATCAGTTATTTAAGTGACGTCCAAGATGGCATTGAAAGTCCAACTCAAATTTTAGTTCGAGAGAGGGAACATTTCTTGAGATAACTTCAGCACTGCTGTAGCTGCTACTTCTACCACCCTTGAAAATGCACTATAATTTGTTAATTTACATCTTGAACATATCTCAAAAAATAAAAATATTCTTTATTCCCCACATAAACGAAACAACTTTGACTCCCAACTTTTACCGTTGATAACTGAAACACTTTCTTGTAATGTCTCCGAAAAGTTTCTTCTGATAATGATATTACATTATCAACAATCAATTTTTCGATAAAAATATATAAGTTCTGCATTTAAAGTCCAATATACCATGGAAATTGCATTAAGCTCGTAATGATTTTATTCCATTTGACATAAAAGCTCTTCCGAATTACATCAATTTTACTTATCACACTAAATATACTTCACAATCACCATTGCAAACACATTTTAGCAAGTTCCGTAAAGTTTACGACCTAAAGCTTATAATGACAAAACTTTATACGCAAGTGAACGTGAAATTGGCGTGAAGTGCCCCATGCCGCGTCGTGACCTGAGGGCTACAAGCTAACCTGAGCAAGTCACGTGTATAAATCACCAATTATAACTGGATTGTGCTGTCTCTGCTTCTTAATAATAAATGTAGAGTAATGTCACTATATTGACATTTGAGGTTGACACAAAAGAAGGTTGAAATGAAGGCTAGAATGAGATTAGTGAGCAAATTATTGAGATTTCTTCCACTGCAGCGCGCGAGGATAACAGCTCGGGCGCCATCTTGAATCGCGACGCGCGTTCGAATCCAAGAAAACGACTTCGCTGGAATATATTTCTGAATAAAAAACAGCGAAGAAAAGCTTATGTAGTTTATTGTTAGGAGTTTGTAGGAGATGACGCAAATAGTTTAGCTGCTGCTCAAGTGAAGGAAATGCCCCCTAATTTCACAACAAACTAATTGAAACGTGAAAAGATGAAACGTGAAACTGACGACTAAATTAAACGTGAAACTAACATGTGTTAAAATACACACGAAAAGTTTCGCTGGAAAATGAAGCGGCGAAAAGTTGCGTAAAAGATGGAAATAAAAAAAATGAATAATAAATAGTTGCTGCTGATGTAGAAATGAATATAGAAGACATTGTTATGTTATTGATGAAGGAAGGCGCGTAGCTGGAGGCCGAAGTTGCATGGCATTGAGCATCCGGACGCGGCACGTCAGGTGTGTTCAGATATGAATGATAATGAGGGGAGAGCGAGGGGAGAGTGAGGGGANTATTCTATTCTATTCTATTCTATTCTATTCTATTCTATTCTATTCTATTCTATTCTATTCTATTCTATTCTATTCTATTCTATTCTATTCTATTCTATTCTATTCTATTCTATTCTATTCTATTCTATTCTATTCTATTCTATTCTATTCTATTCTATTCTATTCTATTCTATTCTATTCTATTCTATTCTATTCTATTCTATTCTATTCTATTCTATTCTATTCTATTCTATTCTATTCTATTCTATTCTATTCTATTCTATTCTATTCTATTCTATTCTATTCTATTCTATTCTATTCTATTCTATTCTATTCTATTCTATTCTATTCTATTCTATTCTATTCTATTCTATTCTATTCTATTCTATTCTATTCTATTCTATTCTATTCTATTCTATTCTATTCTATTCTATTCTATTCTATTCTATTCTATTCTATTCTATTCTATTCTATTCTATTCTATTCTATTCTATTCTATTCTATTCTATTCTATTCTATTCTATTCTATTCTATTCTATTCTATTCTATTCTATTCTATTCTATTCTATTCTATTCTATTCTATTCTATTATATTCTATTCTATTCTATTACTGGTATGCTACTGCGCTATATATTCTCGGGCTTATCCTTTATTTTGATCTTCTTCAACGTTTCATCTCCCGTAGCGTCTGCGATGTTACGACGTACACAACTCGTCTGCCATTATATAAGTTTTACAACGACGAAATATTTCACAATTTCTTTCTTGGTAGCATTTTCTGTCCTTCATTTTACTTCGTTTCTGGGCACACGTTTTCCTCGCATCTTGTTTTCTCCTATAACTTTTATGATTTCCCTCTTTCTTCATTTAAGTTTTCTCTCTTAACTTGCAAATCAAATATCTATTTTTCTACTTTCTCTCTTTGCTTTTTTTTCTAACAGAATTACTTTTCATTCCTCCTCGATTTCTATATTTTTTAACCATGCCATAGAAGTGAAATTTTCCCAAATAATCTGAACTTCCCTAAATAAATTAGGTATCCGAGGGCTGGCCAATTCAAACCCTGAAATAGGCCTACGATTCACTACAAACTTACAAGAGTTATTCATCAAATTAATAATCAGCATACAGCTCCCTCATCTCAGCCCTGAGGTAGGCCTATAATCATTATAAACTTCTCATGGTTATTTACCCAATTAATAATCAGCATTTAGCTCCCTCATCTCTCCACGAGGTAGGCCTATAATCACTACAAACTTCTCATGGTTATTCACCCAATTAATAATCAGCCCACAGCTCCCTCATCCCAGTTAAAATTTTGAGCCGAGACCGGCGCCGGGTTTAGCCGGGCTGGTCGCGCTTTAGCAGGATGGAGCCGTGAAACAATAACCGGCCTTGGGCAGGTACTCAGAAGCTAATTAGCGCTGATACGCGGCTGACGATATCGTCTCTAAAGCGGACATTTCTGCTCTATCGCTGCTCTGTCGCGTCTCTACGCCGGCTCTGCAGCCGGCGACGGCCTGCTCTATTCCCTGCCCTAAATTTTAACTGGGGCGACGGCCTGCTCTATTCCCTGCCCTAAATTTTAACTGGGATCTCACCCCGACGTAGGCCTATAATCACTATAAAATTATAAGGTTTATTCACCCAATTAATAATCAGCCTACAGCTCCCTCATCTCACCCGAGGTAGGGTTACTATAGCAACAATTTCAACAAGGCTGCTGCCGCCATATGGCATCTCAGTGTTGCCGGACATCATTATTGCCAGGCAGTGTTGCCATCTAATCCAGTGGCAAGTCGCTAAGTGTTTGCACGGCACACAATGTCACGTGACCTGGCGACAGTCGACGGCTTTGTGGCCGCGGCAAGTTGACAGTTGACACAGAGGGCAACGAGGCCTCTGTCGGGGTTTGTATGTTGGAAATAACAGCTGAATAATCAACTTTAAGAGATAAGATAAAAATTGTGTATGTTTTTTTGTAGATGTTAACATGAATGAGAGAATAATATTAAGTTGACAACTTCTTGAGATAAGAAAAAAATTGTCTACGAGGTGTATGCTTTTTGCATGTGTTAACTATGTTGGAAATAACAGCCGAATAATCTACTTTATGAGATACTGTAAGATAAAAATGGGTATGTTTTTTTCTGTAGATGTTAACATGAATGAGAAAATAATAGGTATTAAGTTGACAACTTCGTGATATAAGATAAAAATGTCTACGATATGCGTTTTGCATGTGTTTACTATGTTGGAAATAACAGCTGAATAGTCAACTTTGTGAGATAAGATAAAAATATAACTCAGTACTCACTGCAGTGAGTGACAGAGAGCTCATTTTCTCGTCGTCGAAAATGTGAAGTCATGGGCAGACGGACGGACGGATGGACAGACGGACAGACGGACAGATAGACAGATGGGCAGACAGACAGAAGGACGGACAGACAGACAGTGTAAAATGTGTAATTTAGCAAGATTGTAGCAAAACTACAACAAATGTGTTGTTTTGGTTTTTTCTATCAAGTATTGATCCTACTAGCTGTACCTGTAGGACCGAAGTGAAAGTCCTACAAAACTTAAATAATTTTACATAACGAAAATTTCAGTAAATAAACAATCTAATACAAATATAATTAAGAAATTAATGATAAGTACACAATTAAACAACAGCCTACTTAATGTACGTAAACATAACCGGGCGTTTAAACATTTTATTCACGTTCTATTATTTCCATCAATTTCAAGTTCAGTTGAGATTGAAGCCACTGAGGTTTAAGTTACGCATTGATGAATAATTAAATTGAAGCCTTCCTGTAAGTTTAAAACATAATTGTTATTGAAATACTTAGGCAAAAGAAAGACCTCAATAATAATGAACAAAATTGAAATACGAAAATAATCACAACATGAAACTTGACGATTACACATCACTACATCACTTATATCATCGCCATCATCACATATATCATTGCCATCATCATATATATCATCGCCATCATCACATCTATCATTGTCATCTATTTATGAAAGCACCTCCGTGGTATGATGATAACAATGATGATTAAAACGCACTACCAGTCGAGGTCACATCGGAGGTGATTGAAGACTAAACTGACAACAATAATTAGCCTAAAACCTAATACATTACAACTTGAACATTTTATTGGTGGATTTAAATCGAACCTTGTTCCTCTATATAGTATATATTAGCAGGATACTGACATAGCACAATTTAATTTAGATACAAAATGCACAATTTATATTGAGAAAGGCAGAAACTGCTTGATAACTCTAAAGTTGGTTGAAATTAAATGGTATTTCGGTAGGATGACAACTGAACACCGCATGACAATAGCAGTAGCAGAATAGCGGCAAACAAAAGCAAACGTTTTCACAAGAAATAACATCTTCATTACGATTGATTACAATTAAGGGGAAAATAATAAATATTAGTCAGTGGTAAAGCGTCAACCATAAGATGCCAGTCAACAAGAGAACAACAGATACAACAATATGGATAACAATAATGTGAGTAAAATTGA